CATTCTAGAATTCCTAGAGTTGATATTTATTTAAGAATTAAACAATAACATACGGTAAACTATTTAAATCTGCATCAACAATATTCATTGATGTTTGTGGTGTATCAGCTGTAAATACATTTGAATTTGGATGACAAACACTAACTGTTGCTTCAGAATAATGTTTAAATTGAAATTGTGGACCCATCCATAAACGACGATGTGGACCTACATGTGTATTCATTTCAACCTAGAAAAAATGAATAAATTTTCTTCTTTTATAGGATAATTATAAATATTCATGAACACATAGCATAAATTTTATTATATTTCTAAAATACGATGATTAAACTAAGCATTTGAATATGATTTAATTATTAATGAATGATGTTATAATATCGAACTATTTTCTTTTGATGTTCGACGACGACATTCCTTTGTTAAATAAATGTTATTAAAATGGCATTCTTCAACAGAAATAATTAATCATCAACTTATTGTTGGATAAAATGAATAGATCCCGTGCTTAAAATTGATCATGAGGAGATTATACTTGTTGTTGTATATAACTGATAAGTATCTATAGAAAGTTATCAATTTATACAAGTATTCCATGTTAATAAAAACATGATAAGAAATTATTCATGTCATAAAAACTGAAGACAACAACTGGGTCTTTTCTCGATTTTCATTACATAGGTATCTACTTAACTAATATGCCCAACATAAATACTATTCTAACTTCTTAAAGGATTGTACTTGTCCTATGGAAAAAAATTGAAATTTTAATTTATTCAAGAAAAATTAAAAATCTTCTTTGCATCTGATTTCTCCTATAACATTTATATAAATATTTACTTGACGAAGCCAATCATCTTTTGAATGAACTTTATTTCCAGATGTTGGCCGTTGTCCTTGAGATAAAAATGAATAACCAACAGACATACGAACTTCTGGCCAAGTAATTAATCTACACAGAAAAGTATAGTTATGTATCGAAAAAAAAAAATTCAAATTTACTTTTGAAGTTTCCATTGTGCTTTTGGAATAGCTGTAAGTGCAAGTGGTGTTTCGGATGTAACACGTGTACCATGTTTTGTTATATCTAAAATATTATTTCAATAGAAAAAAAAATTTTTTTCAATGAAATTCTTTACCAGGTTTTGGTTCAAGCACATATTCAATTAAACGACCATGCCAACTAATTATAAATAATGAATTACATGCTCTTGATGTATGTTCTGGATGATTAATCATATCTTCTGGATTAAGAAAACCTCGTGAAATTCCAAATATAGCTGCTAAACATAATGAATCAATATTAAATGGTGCACTAAGACCACTAACAAAACTTTCAGTTGGTTGACGAATTAATGTAACAGCTGTTGAAAATATACATTCATTATTTATTCGTTTCGTACGTGTTGAATTCACATAATTATTATTATGACCATTAATTATATTTGATGATGAATTAGTTAAAGGACTTAATGGTAAATTTTTTATTCCATTATCATTATTGATATTATTTGTTTGACGAATTGGTTGTTCATCAAGACCAACTGTACGATGATAACGATTTGTTTTATTTACAACACAAGGTTTTGTATGTGTACGAACATTGGCAACACCTGTGATAAATAAAGATTTATTTAGTTTCTCATGTAAAAAAATAAAATTAAAGATATTTTTCTTAAAATATTTAAAGTCAAAAAGTTTTGTTCAACTTTGCGATCTATTCCACTACAATTTAATGAATTTTTACCTCCATATGGGTTAATTGCAAAAAGATGTGTTGTACCACGTTTTGTTGATACAGCAAGCCATCGACTGTCAGTAGTGAACGTCATATGAGAAACTAAAAATACATAAAATTTATCGATTATTATTAATACTAGAATTCAATGTTGTCGATTTATTTTTAAATATCTAAATAATAGACATATTGTCATTCACCTGCGAATGTCACTAATCGATTTCAAATCGAAATGAAATCTTAGTCAAAAAGTTTATGAAAGAATAGACTATGCTCTTTGGTTGAATACTTTAACTTGAGTTTTATTATCAATCTTATATATTTATAGTTTACCTATGCAATCAGTATCACCACGAAATAAAGTGTATAAATGTTTAATATATGTTCTAGTACAACGATAAGGTGATGCTTGAATTTCTAATACGTTAAAGTAATGTCCACTAGTATCACAGGTTACAAGTAAATGTCCACTTGGATTAAATTGTAAATGACTAACAGGTTCTGTATGAGCTTGAAAATGAGCAATGATCCAATTTTGTCTTTCATCATGTACAGATGACTAAAAAAACAAAGCAAAATAAAAATAATAATTAAATTATGTACAAAAATTCTTCTTACACCAAATAATTTAATTGTATCAACAATCGTTACAATACCCGGTTGTGATTCATCTTTTGTTGATCCATGTCGATGTCGTGTTGAATTTGTATTACTATTATTTATTGTTGTCGATGATGATTGTGTTTGATTTGATATTGTTTTATCATTCATATTTGTATTATTTAATTGTTGTAATCCACTATTTCCATAACCAAGAAAACTTTCACCTATTTTAACAACACTTTTTGATAATGATTTAGCTGCATTTAACATTGCACCTGCATATGATATATATTGTTCTGATATTGTACCATCAATTCCACCTAATGATTGATGAATTAAATAAAGACGATAATCAACAAATGCTAACCATCGTGTTGATAATGCATATGGTATTGATGAATAACAATTTGTTATAAAAAATTTTTCATCAAATTTTATTAAATCATAACCAATAATAAATGTATGTGTTGCACATATAAGTACAAATTTATTTGATTCAATCCATAATGGTTCACTTTGTGAACCAATACCAGGTAAATTAATAATTTTTAATGGTTTTTGATCATTTTTTAATGAACGTATTTGTATTGATGGTGGTCCTGCTGATTTAGCAAATGCAAGTAAAGGATGTTGAGAATAATATGAATCATCGGAATATATATTTGGTATTAATAAACATACAGAACTTAAATTATGTTCACGTATTGAAAATAATTCATTGGCTATTCCATTATTTTCAATTGTCCATAATGATAAACCACTTTTATATGCAATTAATAAAACAAGTGTATCAATACGTATGGATGGATGCCATTCATGTGCATTAGAAAGAAAACGTATCCATTCTATGGTTTCAAATTGATCATTATGAGTTGAACGTGAAGATATTGAGTAAGCCTAATTGAATAAATAAATTTCTTTGTTTTTTAAGATAGAAAAATTTACTTGAGGAACTTTTTCTACTACATCATGAAATAAATCAACAACGGATTCAAGAACACTTTTTTCACTAGAATGAAGAATATATTTAAAATAAAATATTATTTGAATTATTGAACATACTTGACTGCTTCAGGACGAACTTTTCTCAATTCAATTGATGATACATAGGACATTCAGGCAGTTAATTTAAATGAAAAAAAAATATATATTTATAAATTTCTAAAATGTAATACGAATATAGAAAAAAAACACCTGTATATATAAATAAAAGAAATATCATACGATTCTTAAAAGACAAAAATAAAAATAAATCGAATCAGCTGACGTTTTAACACATACTCTATGATGATGAGTCATAGAAAAAAAGATAAAAAATATCAACAAAGAACATAAGTACAAAGATGAGAAAAACAGTTAAATCGATTCGCTGATTTGAATATCTCCTATAGCTAATAAAAAGATCTCTGAAATAGATGTCGATATAATTCAAGATCACTGTAAATCATCTTGAATATATGTTCCAAAGGCAAAGACGAAATAAGTCTCTGAGTCAAGCACTATTTTTCCTCGGATAGATTTAAGATAAATCACTAATCGATCTAGCAACATGACAATTCGGCAACGATGTTCCTGTAGTGAATAGGAGTAAAAACACAATTTTTTTAAAGAGTTTCTATAGTAAACGTTTGGAAAAACGGCAAAGAACTTTTGAATGCTTTTGAAAAAACATCTATTCGTTTTTTTTCATCAAGAGTTTTTGGGAAAAAATGTAAACGTTTTTATCTTTGAAATGATTTTTCTTATTATAAAATAGTTTCCACGATGTAGTTATAAAAGTTGACTCTATTATTGATGCATATTCTAAATTTAATCATCAACTGATTCTTTCTGAATTGATAGATTTCATAGAGAAATCAGAGTGTTTATCTTACTGAGTTTTATGTAAAAATATCAAAAAATTTCAACTACTTAGAAAGTCTATTCCTAAAAAAAAAAGACTTTGTTGTTTTATCTACAACGAATGTTCGATTTCTTCAATCAACTCTTGAAATATAATGACATACACATCAGTGAATATCACATTAGTCATTATTACAAAGGATGGTAAACATTTTTGATTTTAATCTTTGATATTTATAAACGATACTTTATTTGTGTAGCACAATGAGCACGACCCAGACGACTAAATGTACAAACAAAAATGTTTACGTAACGTTGAATATTTTCATTGATATCTTTCGCAAATAGGATTAGCTGTCTTTAGGCCGTCGAAATAATATGTCGAACATGGATATTGTATAGTGTCAAGCGCGAAGTTAAAAATAAATTTACTACCTGTATAAGTATTATATGGTCCATTTAAATTATTCATCCCAACAAGACGTCTGTGCATGTGTGTTTGCTTGTTATTTCTTATTATCGAACTACAAGGTACAGTAGAAATGCTGATAATCAAAAGGGTAACAAGTCAATTTGCAAGAATATCGTCAATATTATACAATATATTCGAAATTTTTAACTAGCACTTGAATATTCAAACAAGAATACAATAACTAAAATATATTAAATCATCGTTCTTCTGACAAGATGATAGTTCTAGGGTCTGATATTTACCATGATGAATCGATTAGCTTTTATATTTTCTTGATATTAATGTAACGATGTCTTTTTTTTTTACACAAACATGTGTACATATTTATTTGAAAATGACAAATTTATTTTAAATAGTCTCAATAGGTTTTTCTAGAGAGCCAAGAATTCGCTCGTATGAGTCGATTAGATCATCTGTACCAGCAACCAAAATAAGTTTTGCATTAGGTGCGTGCTCAAGAACATGATTAACAAGACGATTAAACCAATGTAGAGTTGTTACTTCTTTTGGAAATCTATCATCAAACCCATTAATTCCACCACCTTGAAGAATATCGATATATCATTTTTTTTAAAATGTATGTTTACTTACCAATAGATACACCATCCCAGTCATTACTCTTGAGAACTTCGATTAACTTATCGTCATTGACTTTATCATTTTCAACTATGATAACTTTAATATTTTTATAACCCATTTCATGTAAATATTGTTCAGCCTTTTCTGCTAATTCGTGTTCTCTGCCTAAAACAAGTATTTTCCATGAATGAGCTTTTGATCCAGTCATCTTTGCTAATTTGTTATGGGAAAGAGTATGTTGTATATTAATTATTATTATTATAAGAACACAGCGAACAGCTAAACAACAAGTAATAGAATGCAATACAATCAAAAGAGACAAACGTAAGAACGCAAAATATAAAAATAGAGTAAGGTGAAGCGGAACGCATAGCTATACTATAAAAGTTCGTTAAGTAAAAACCAAGAATTGATTAATTACATGTAGTTAACTAAATTACTAACGAACAATGAGATAAACAGGTTTCGACATGTTGCAATTTTTTCAATTAAAACAATATTAAATTAGCATTTCTTAGTAGAAAAATAAAACTGATATCAATTACCAGTGCAGCTCATTATTCCATTCTAGCTTCCTTGTATTTTTCTTTTGTTACTAGAAACTTTCATCTTGTAAATATCAATAATTGCACTATTTACTAATCATACAGAGCATTTGAAAATTTTCTTCTGAATTTACTAATGATTATTATCTAATCTTTCACAATAATAAAGAACTTAATTTAATTTTTACTTTCATCTAATATTTGCTTTTTAAATTCAGATACTTGATCATGACATAATGCTTTCTTTGTATCATCCTCTTTTGTAGGAGATATTGACAAACAACAGATTTCGAGTACTTGTAAAAACTACGAACATTCATTTCAAGGTAACCACATGCTAAAATTTAAATTTATCTTTATTTTCGATTTACAAACGAGTAAGAAGTAGACATCTATCTTACTTCCAATTGATTGATATAATTCAACAATCAAATTTTTTTTTGTATTTAACAATCTATTTGATAAAGAATTAACTATTAAAGATGACGGGTACATTAGAAAATTTTCGTTCCATTTGCACAAAAATTATTTGTGTTGGACGTAATTATAGGTAGAAGAAATTCTCTGTTCTCCCTTTTTTTTTTTTTCTGTAATAATTTTATTATTTTTAGTGAACATGCAAGTGAATTAGGCGATGTAAATATTTTATGTGTTTTTGAATAAAGTCATATTGTTATAATTTAGGTTGTACCTAGCAAACCATTGATATTCATGAAACCGACAAGTGCATTTGTTGTTGAACCTAATAATATCAACGTAGAAAAAAGAAACATTTTTTGACTAAAAAAAAAATTTTTTAAAATGTTATTTTTTTAATTAGATTCCTTCTGAATGGGATGAACTTCATCATGAAGTTGAATTAGGTGTTATTATTGATAAAAAATGTCAAAATGTTTCAAAAGAACAAGCTAAAGAAAATATTGGCGGTTATTGTTTAGCACTTGATATGACAGAAAGAAAACTACAAAATGAATTAATAAAACAAGGTCATCCATGGTTAATTTGTAAAGGTTTTGATACATCTTGTCCATGTGGAAATTTTATTGATAAAAAACAAATTGATCCATTATCATCATCAGTTAATCTTTGGCTTCGTGTTAATGGACAAATGAAACATAATGGTCATACACGTGATATGATCTTTTCAATACCAGATTTAATTGCTTATATTTCGAAATATATTACACTTGAACATGGAGATTTAATTTTAACTGGTACACCAGCTGGTGTTGGACCAGTGAAAAGAGGTGATCAAATAGAAGCTGGAATTAATGGAGAAAATGATTTTAAACATACAATGAAATTTAATGTTGCATAGAATTTTAAGAATAGATTTTTTTGTCTTTCGATTGATTTTTTTTTGTAGTCTTTCAGCACATTCTTAATTTAAAAAAAAAAAGCAAATTATTCTTTGATAGATCACTGATTAAGAAACAATTGTAATTTTATTTATAGATCATTGATTTGATAAATATGGTGGACACTGTTAAAGAAAAACTGACAGCTCTTATGCTTGAATATCCAAAACCATCTGGTATCATTTTGGGTTACGGTACAGCAGGTTTTCGAGCTCGAGCTGATATACTTCCATGGATAATGATTCGAATTGGTCTTCTAGCATCTCTTCGGTCTAAAGTAAAACAAGGTTGATATAATATATTCAAATTGAGATTGTATTTTTAATCCAAATCTTTATTCTAGCTTGTATTGGTGTTATGATTACAGCTTCACATAATCCTGAACATGACAATGGTGCTAAATTAATTGATCCATATGGTGAAATGCTTGATCAATCATGGGAAGTTTATGCAAATAATTTATCATCACTTGAGTATGTTTAATTAGAATATCACTATAGAATTTTTGAATTTAATCATTAGTGATAATATTCGTGTTTTATGGGACTATTTGGAAAAATTAATGACGCAATTGAATGTGCAATTAAATGATAAAGCTACTGTTGCTATTGCATATGATACACGGTATGTCAAAATTTATTTAAGACAAATTTTTTTTCTTCATCTATAGTTAGATATTATTTAGACAAAGTAGTCCACTTTTATCAAATATTGTCCAACGTGCAGCTGAAATTTTAAGTGCAAATATAATGAATTTTGGTAAGAAAATTTTCATTGAAAAACTTCTTTTTTTTTTTCTTAAATTTTATATTTATCATAGAACTAATGACTACACCACAACTTCATTATACTGTTCGCTGTTATAATGATAATGAACTTTATGGGCGTTATACTGAAGTCGGTTATTTTGATAAAATTTGTACAGCATTTAGAAAATTAATTGAAGTAAAAAGATATAAATTATTTATTTGATCTTCGTTTATTAATGCTTTCTTAATAGATGACATCCGGTGCTAAATGTTCTGAACAACTTGCTATTGATGCTGCTAATGGTATAGGTGCTCAAAAACTTGTTTATTTAAATCAAAGATTATCAGATTTACTTAAAATTGAAATATTTAATGATGGTACTAAAGGTCATTTAAATGAAAAAGTAAATAAAAATCTATGGTATACTTATCTAGTAGAGTTAATATTGAATCAAACACTATAATATATGGTTACATTCAAATGATAGTCATTTTAATGTGGAGATACTCTGAATAGGAGTTATGTTGCTAGAGTCTTTATTTTCTTTTTATAATATCGAAGTATTGGTTCTAATTCCTATTCATAAGATCTCGTTTTACCGATAAGAAAATTATATAAAAACAATCCTGGAATACTTTTTGATTGGTTATCAGTTCTAATAAATCTTTTAGCATCAAGATCCCGATATTTTATAAGTTTGTACTTAAAACCAAATCACTCTAGAAAAATCATTCTTCATGTTGCCGGCTACGATTGGATCAAAAATAATTCAAACTCTTACGAAAAGTGCTACTTTTACATGTGTAATCAAGAATTTCTTTGAAAGGGCTCTACAAATACATTATGCCTGTAGTGATGTATACATCAACTTTACCAACATCAGAATAATAATCAGTTGATTTAAGTAAATAACGAATTGGCCAAATAGTTTTAAGATAAAGTCCTCCTTTATTCTTCGACCGATTAAGATGGTCAACAGGCCCCATAAAATATTCATTTAAAGCTGAGCTTTGCACTCTTTTCAAATGCCGGTTCAGGATTTTAATTAGACTCATATTTTAGTAGTTATAAGCAAATTTTAGAAAGTAATGATTTTAATGACGTGTTTCTGACATAGAAATGCCGATTTTGTTTAAGTCTCATTTTTTTTTGCGTTTAACTCCATCACACTGTGTAACTTTTCTTGATCAATGCTTAGTGAACAAACGTTCGCTTTTGCATAGCATAACGAGTAAGACCTTGCTTTACAAATGCATTGTTGTAGTCTAAAAAAACAAGAAGTTCTTTTTCTTGGATTCTGCAGCTGATCTAGGGCTCCACAGAATGTTGGAAAACCGTCTCGATTCGATGCTTGATTACTTCAGATAGAGAATTTCTATGAATGCGTTAAAGATGACCTAATAGGACGAAAAAAGTTTAAAAAAAATAGTAATAATTCTTTTTCATCGAGTTTAGTGTGGGGCTGATTATGTTAAATTATATCAAAAAGCACCTGATGGTTTACCTTTAACAAATTATCCAAAATATTGCTCAATTGACGGTGATGCTGATCGTTTGATTTACTATTTTATTGATGAAAATCAATATTTTCATATGCTTGATGGTGATCGTTTTTCAGTTTTATTTGCATCATTTATTTCTAATAAATTGAAAGAAGCTAAATTAATGGATCAAGTTAAGATGGGAGTTATTCAAACAGCTTATGCTAATGGAAGTTCAACGAATTATATTGTTAATACAATGGTAGAATTATTTTATATTGAGAATAAGAATTGAATTTAAAAAATTCATTTAGAAAGTTCCTGTTGCATGTGTACCAACTGGTGTTAAACATTTACATCATAAAGCACTTGATTATGATATTGGTATTTATTTTGAAGCAAATGGACATGGAACAGTAGGTTACTTTGTCATAGATAGAATGATAGTTGAGATTTGTTTAGATTTTATTTAGTAATTATTTAAAGAATAAAGTAAAAGCAGCATTAGAAGATCAAAGGTAAATTGAGTAATCTAATATATTTTTCTTTGTATTATTTTCTTTTGATATAGTCGAACAGATGAAGAACGATTAGCTGCAAATCAACTTCATGTATTTATTGATATAATTAATGAGACAGTTGGTGATGCTCTAGCTGATTTATTAGCAACGGAAGCTATTCTTTGTTTAATGAATTTATCTATAGAAGGATGGTTACATTTATATAATGATTTACCACAACGACAATTAAAAGTAGCAATTAAAGATCGAACAATGATTCAAACAACAGATGCTGAACGACGTTGTACTGCTCCTGCTCATTTACAAGATTGTATTGATGAACTTGTCTCGAAATATCCATCAGGTCGTTCATTTGTTCGGTAAACAAAAAACAAAATAGTAATTTTTTCCTTATTAATTATAATTAATTATTTCTTTTTAAGACCATCAGGTACAGAAGATATTGTACGTGTTTATGCTGAAGCAGCCACACAAGTTGATGCCGATAAACTTGCTGATGATGTACGAAAAATAGTCGAAGAACTAACGAAATGAATGTTTATTTATTGTTCTATTTAATATTTGGTTAAAAGCTATTCTTAACAAAATTTTCCAGATGAAAATTTCTTTTCTATATTAAATAATATCTTTATTCAATTAGTTTTTTGGGATTCTTTGGAAAAAAAAATATAATAATAATTGATTAACTCATATAATTACCTCTTTCGAAAATAAAAGCATTTTCATTTGTATCAATTCTGTGAAGATTTATTTTTATCATTATTATCAGCTACTAATTCTTACCAATATTCGAAATGATTACAAGACAATGAAATGCATACAATTCAGAAAAATAAAAATTAATTTGTAATTGTCTATCAAAAAGTTGTTGTATTTGATGATTGTTATCACTTGTTATCAATTTTCGATACAATCACGAATCATTAATAATACATTTAACTCAACATAAATAAGTATTTTCAAAACAAAACATGCACATTTTGGTCTACAAATCTTATCTTATATACATGCTCTCCTTGAATCGTTACTATGGCATTCGGAGAAACGATTATTTGGTTTTTTTTTGTGAGAATATAAATTTGTTCGATGATCAATATTCGTAGCTTCGCACTTTATTTCGTAATCGAGTGGAACTCGAATATCATTTAATTTTCTTTCCTTTTATTTTCGACGTAGACATTAAAAACTGTTATTCTCTATTGTAATGATCTCAAGAAGAAAAAGTCTGGAAATACTTGTTCAAACGTCAGAGTGCAATTTCCTAATCGAATCAATACCATCTGTTTTCTGGTCTCTAATATGACATTGTATTTTCCTACAAAAAGACAAGTTTTCGTGGACTTTTAGACTTTGATCATCTGATTGGTCGAAACATAACTATTCCATTCTACAGTGACAAAATACGAAATCTTGATTATAGTATAACGTAGTTATCTGTTGGAGAAATGTGTTTAACATTCAATTGTCCAAACGAGTATTCCGCAATCAACATTGAAAGCTTCGCAATGCATGTTGCAATCAAGTGACACTAGAATGCCATCTAGTTTTATATTGTGGTTCATAGCTAACGAACAATACTATAGAGTAGCATAATTTAATATTTCATCTGTTCACTTGTAGAAGAAATAGAAAATGAATATCTTTTTTTCGTTGAAGTTACACAATTGTTTATAACAAAAATTGAATGTTCAAACATATAAACACATAAGAACCATCAAAATTTTATCTTACAATGGAGGTGTGTGTATTGTTGAGCGAAAAAGTGGCACATGTTCGGGTCAAATGAAAGCTCTCAACGCCAAACTAACAAGGTTAAAATATTAGCGGCCGTTGGCTTGCCTAGAGGGAGATATTTAACTTTTAAGTGTAGGTGTAAAAATGAATCAGGAAAGGTTTTTTCCACTATTATAAGGACAAAACATAGTGTTGTTCGGGCCATATGAAAGAGGGACCCTACAAACCCTATAATCGGCCCGAACAACACTATGTTTTGTAGTTATAGTAGCAGAGTGAATTTTTCTAGTGATTGATAGAAAATGCCGTTTCCATGACCTACAAGAAAAATTCACTCTACTATTGTAAGGACAGAACATAGTGTTGTTCGGGGCGATTAGGGGGTTTGTAGGGACCCTCTTTCATATGGTCCGAACAACACTATGTTCTGTCCTTACAATAGTAGAGTGAATTTTTCTTGTAGGTCATGGAAACGGCATTTTCTATCAATCACTAGAAAAATTCACTCTGCTACTATAACTACAAAACATAGTGTTGTTCGGGTCGATTATAGGGTTTGTAGGGTCCCTCTTTCATATGGCCCGAACAACACTATGTTTTGTCCTTATAATAGTGGAAAAAACCTTTCCTGATTCATTTTTACACCTACACTTAAAAGTTAAATATCTCCCTCTAGGCAAGCCAACGGCCGCTAATATTTTAACCTTGTTAGTTTGGCGTTGAGAGCTTTCATTTGACCCGAACATGTGCCACTTTTTCGCTCAACAATACACACCTCCATTGTTAGTGTATGATAGATTACATCTCTTTGTTTGAAAAAATGATTGAATTCATAAACTTCACTCGTTTTTACACGTACATGTTTCAAATACTTATTTTGATGCTCCGATCAACAACGACTTGTTTTATTTTGCTAATATTTTGATCGATAGCCATTAGTGGAACACCTCTTTTATGATGAATAGCACAACTAGACTATAGGTTCGTTATTACAAATATAATATACATATACAATACATTTGTTAAAAGCAGAGGAGACTATACGATTATGGAAATATACACCAAAAAACAAGAAAAATTATAGTTATTAATGACCATTCGATAGTACAAATATTGAAGGCTCATCTCTCAAAAATAGTGTTTGTAGTTGTTTCACGGAATAGAACAATAATCACAAAAGATATCGTGGCAGTTTCTTTTGCGAAGAAGCTGTATCTCAACTAAACTTAATATACATGTCTCACAAAGTCATTGAATCCATTATGATGTTGCCTGTCAAGTTTATTTATAGGACTCTTAATCCTTTTTTATGTGTATAATCGTCTCAAATGCTATCATTGATATCAATTATGAATATCAAGTAAACTCTGAAGTTATCTGCAAGGATCTCTCTATTGATGATTCTCGTTGAAATCAATCAAAATAACATATTTAAGAGAGCTATTCATTTTAATTCAAATAAGATATAATCGAGAGACTCTATGATACTGCATTTAGATACTTGAAAATTTGACTAAAACCTTCACAAAGATTAGTAATCAATAACAATCATGTTATAAATGCAATTTCTTACAAAATGATACAATTAGCAGTTCTATTAGTCTTTCATCTTAGGTTGTTTATCAAAGCTATTAAAAAATAACAAAATGAAAAAATTTTTCCTCTATAACTCATATTTTTATTAAATAATAGGGTATGGCCAAATGTTACGGAATTTCATTTTTTTACATTGTAATACCTATATCTCCTCAGTAGTAAAAGCTAACTCTTTGAAGTTTTTATCATAGACAGAGACTATTAAGTTCTATTACTAGTAAAAATTTCATCGGCTTTTTCCTTAGCCAGAGCTAAGTTATTCCAAGAATAGTGACCGTTACGGAATTTCAAAAAATGGAATCTTTTTTGAGGGTGATGTGAGAGTTGAGCATTTTACTATGACTCGAGGTGACATATACATAACTGTTTCACGTACAAGTTATTCAGTTCTCCACAAGCTATCATAATATCACGTTATCTGCTAACAACTATAACTGCATAGAATAAAAAAGCTAAAAATACTCTTCGTTACGGAATTTCAATCGTTACGGAATTTCATGTTTCAAAGTCGAAGGTTTGAGGACCTGAAATTTTTAAATTACCATAATAAAAATATATCTTTTTCCTAATTTACGAGTAGTACAAAGATAGTCCTATCGTTCAAGTAATCAAGTTTTATTCTCACAACAAATGCACATTAAAATTGCTGATCATCATTTCGACAAAAAATGTAATTTAACACGATTCAAAATCATACTCTATTTTGAAATTAGTCAATAAATTTATTTTTTATATATACAGGGTGTCCCATAAGTAACAAGACAAGGAAAAAAAGTTTGAATATCTCCATTAGAGCTCGACCAAATGGGCTCAATTTTCTATCAAGGATAGAGGCATCTGCACACTCCAAATCCATACGAACAAGGTGAATGAGAACCTTTGTTAAGTATCGCTAGTGACCTCAACAATAAAATTTTTGCTTTGTCACTGGTAAGAAAAAACCAATATACAGGATAGTGCAAAAGTCACTTTATCGAAAAGAAAATTAAATATTTCCCTTACGGCTCGAGCAACCGAGCTGATTTTTTTACCAAAAATAGAGGCATGCTTATACTTCAAATCCATACAGACAAGCTTAGTGAGGACCTTTGTTAAGTATATTTTTTTATTTTCCTGTCTGTGAAAAAGTAAAAATTTTATTGTTGAGGTCAATAGTGATACTTAACAAAGGTTCTCATTCACCTTGTTCGTATGGATTTGGAGTGTGCAGATGCCTCTATCCTTGATAAAAAATTGAGCCCATTTGGTCGAGCCCTAATGGAGATATTCAAACTTTTTTTCCTTGTCTTGTTACTTATGGGACACCCTGTATAATGAAAAAAATGAGGATTATATCACTCATAACCAGGGTTGCCAGATCAAAAATTTAAAAATCAGAAATTCCGACTATCAAAATCAGAAAATATTCAGAATTTTTTTTCGAAAATCAGAAAATGATCAGAAAGGCTAATATGTTGAAATTGGGACTTATTATTTTACCAAACTATTACAAAATGCTTTAGTTGTAATTTGTTCATCTATTCTTCATTTATTTTCGAAGATATTTAACATAAAAAAACAATAATAATAAGAATATGTAGTTCACCGAATATCACACAAACTAGCAAAAGACATCTAGTATCAGACTTTTTACTAAACTCAAAACGTTTTTCACATAAAATGAGCAAAAACAAACCGAGAAATACACTATATACATCAAGAGATATTTAAAAAAACGACTCATTCAATATGAGTTCCATACTATTGATATTTTTCATTTTTCGAATTTGCTGCAATAAATGTTTATCAGTTGAAATATGTTTTTAGAACTGTTCACAAGAATAATTAGCATTCATTCTTATCTTAAGTTCAGCACTAACTAGTTTTATGTCCATGCAATTACGATAATCAGACCATACATGTTTCATATGGCTAACGATTATGATCGTAATCAATTTGAGAAAAGTCTTCATTCAGAAGTAGAATTTGGACAAATATCGCAGCGAAACAGTAAAACCAGAAAAATCGAAAAAAACCTGAAAAATCAGAAAAATCAGAAGGTCAGAATAAAATCAGAAAAACTTTTGAAATTCAGAAGCTTTCCTGCCATTTCAGAAGATCTGGCAACCCTGCTCATAACTAATGTATCTCATAGCTTGCGTGTTTGTTAATCCGTCAATAGTGTACTTTCGATTGCAGAGACAGTTTGCTTTCACTTTCGTAATTTCAAACCTTAGAATGTGAGGGTGACCGTTAGCTGGCCATCACCAATAGCAACATGAAAAAAGTATTGAATTTTAGAGACAATATCATCATCTTTGAACAGACATTAAGTATATTTAATGTAGTGAAAAATTGACAATAATGATTTCGATCTGAAAGAGGTGAAGTATCCATCTGATGCATTAGGATGCGGTACCAACACTAAATGTATGATTTCGTATAAGCAATCTCATCAGTTCTGATGTAGCACAATATCTAACTAAAATTTTATAATATAATGTAGTGCGATAAATATCTAACGTTTCTATTTCATGTTTATATTTATTAAGTTATGCAAACATTCAAAAAACACAATATCTTGAAAATATCTAATAGAATAATACAGTGAAATACATTCATTCTCATGTATCAGTATAAATACGTATCACTTGAAATTTTTCTAACAACAAAACCAGACCTAAAAAAGCGAGTGACAAATTCTACTCTCAAGCAGTCCATATCCGTCTTCAGCATTCAATTCGCACATTGATGATATATTAGTCTTCGAACAAAATAATGATGAAAAGACTTCATATTTTTCGTCATTCATAATACTTTGTTTGCTTTTTTTTTAAACATTGTTTATTGAATTTCTTCATTAGAAAAAGTTATTTTCAAACGTGTAATTCATTCCCAATGATTGATTCGAATCTTTGATTTTTTTTTCATAATCAATACAAATTCTTTCCATGCCTCACTATGCTTACAATTCATGCCAATTTAACCTAGAATTTCTATGAATTTTCAATGGATGCTCAAAATCATATCAACCAACAATGCTGATGCAACAAAAAAGTTCTTATTTAGTTCAAAACAAAATTTTTTTTTTCAACTTCACAGTTATTTCTTTTCGTGTTATTATTTTTTATTCTTGTATTTTTCAATCATCCATGAAACAAAATCATATACAACAAACGAAAACATAACATAATTCATCGACAAGATTGAAATCATATTGTTGATTGGTTGCCACTATTTTGTTTCCATTTGGATGAAATAGTTTATTTCGAACGCTCACGCATACCTAAGAAGAAAAAAACAAACAAACAACAACAATAATTTTATCAAATAATTTTTTTGTGTAAACTTACGTCGGCGTTTACGTTTCAAACGTCGCATACGTTTCTTACGCCATTTAGCTCGCATCGTTGATTAGTCAAAAATGCGAGATTTCTAAAATAAAAAAAAAAAAAAAAACAAAACCTCGTAATTGATTGTTGATACGAAACAGCAAAAAAAAGTAAATGACTGAATAACATCCATGTCGCACTATATGGATATGTTGGAATAGTAAGAGAAACTTTTCATTGGTCTCTATTACATGACTTGTTGTAAGTTTTTAACCTCCATTTCGTTACAAAAAACATTTATGCATTATAAAAATTTATTTTATTTATTTGTATTCTAAAAATTTAAATAATGAAAAACTATTAATAAAAAATTTTTATTTATATAAGAATTAAATCATTTAATTTCTATACTCTTTGTTCGCGCCTGCCGATTTTAATCATTCAAAATCGTCGAACTATCATCTTTATTTTCAGTAATAATCTTTATTTCATTCTTATCATGCGTCCATCAGTCAAAGGTCCAACAGTTCATATGTTTCGTCCAACAAAAGCTTCATTAGCACGTCAAACAAAAACTCGAACTTCAATATTAATATCTTCAACAAAAATTACAAATAAATTAAGATCAATTCAAAATCATCAAGAAAATAAATCTGAAAATGATTTACGAACAATTGGTCTTACCAAACGTATGGGCACAATATCAAAAAATAAGATTTTATTTAAACGACCAAAATCATTTAATAAATTAGCTGCTATTGTATCAAGTTCTTCATTAGATAATTCAATAGGCGATAGAGAAACATTAAAACAAGTTGTAAGTTCTTATCTTTTCGTTTCTTTTTATTTTTTTTTCGATATTCATTTTGATTTTATAAAGATTGTTGCATCATTAACTGAAAATGTTAAAAAAATGGATTCTATTGAAACAAATAATAAAGAAAATTGTTCATCAAAACATTTGATAACATATAACAAAGATCCAATTCCATTACTTAATCATTATCTTGTCGAACAAATTAATATTGAACAAATTGAATTACCGTATACAAATGAAAGTTCAATGTTAACTGACGATGATGAACCTATTGATCCATCATATGCTATGGATTATATTGTTGATATAATGAATTTATTATATACAATCGAAAAAAAATTTCCTATTCATTCATCATTTATAAGTAATTCATCATCAAATATAATAACAATAGCTAATGGAAGTACTTCACGATCATCATGGAAACTTACAGCTAAACATCGATTAATTGTTGTTGGATGGATTATACAATTATTCTATGCAAGATTTCATTTATCACAAGATGCTATGCATCTGTAATGAATTATAAGATTGTTTTTATTTTTTAAATAAAAATTTATATTTCTAGTTGTATTGGTTTATTTGATCGTTTTCTTCAACAATGTATTACATCTACAAATGGAAATACTGGATTTGTAACACAAAAAAATTTACAATTAATTGCTGTAGCTACATTTCTTATTGCAGCCAAAGTTGAAGTAAGTTAAAAAGAGTTTTATGTTTTTATATAAATGAGTAACAGTTGGAATTTTAATATTCCGTAAACTATGTTAGTAAGATAAGAGTAAAAAAGTTTTGCGGCTAACAAATAAGGGAATATATATACAATTGTAAATAGTCGATAGAAGTGATATTTTGCGCTCATGAATGGGGCTCAGTGAGACTAGAAAAATCTTGCAAGAATGTCTTCCCAAAGATGTTTCGTATTGAGTTAGAATTGTTTTATCGAATTTTTGGCTTATAGTAAAGGTTTCATAGAAAAATCAGAAAAAAGGATGTTTCGTGTGAACTTTTGTCTATAAATAGATCTCTTGATCCTGTGAATATCCTTAAAGTTTCTATCGAAACGGATTGTATCTTCTTAACAGTTTATTTATTTTTCAAAAGTCATAAAGTCAATCTTTCTTCAATATTCATTATGTAGAGAAGGATCATCTGATTTGATCGAAGCTTTCACGATACATTCAGGATCCAGATATCTACTTATTGGCAAAAGTTCAGATGAAAAATCCAATAAAACGATGAATACATGCCTATGGAAAGAAATCTTTTCAGACTTGATCTACTCTCACTGAGTCCTACTTGTAACGCTTCAGTCAGCGATTAACAATTGAACCAAATGTTGCCTTTTTGAAAGTAGCGCATAAATAGCTAAAATTCGAATCCGAATTCAAAAAATGTGGACCCGCAACTCTCTACATCTAATGAGATATGAGAATAAGAAATTTCTGAAAAAAAAAAGATTTGCTAGAATTCATTGTGTGGGTCCAAGTCTGAAAATTTACTATTGATTCAGACCGATCGGATAGATTCGATTCTGAAACAAAGTACAAATTATAACTAAGAAAAATACCTTCCACTTTTTCATCGAATATGAGGTTTGGGTTCAAATATTTCGTTGAAAGTATTGAAAATAGGAGTCGGGCGGAAAAAGTGTAAGGAATCGGTGCACGGACTGATTTACACGATTCTAGAAATTCTTAAACCCAGGCGTATTTTATTACAGAAAGGGGTTTACTTGTGACAAAATTAGTTTTAATTTAATTATAGGAAACTCATCATCCGCCTGTCGATGAACTTGTTTATGTTACTGATCATACATATACAAGTGATCAAGTAAAAAGAATGGAAAAGATAATACTTCATGAATTACGATTTGAACTTAATCGACCTACAAGGTATAAAATTTATTCTTTACAACTAAAATAATCTTCATATGACAAATTTTAGTCTTCAATTTCTCCGTCGTTATTCATTTATTTCAAGTGCTAGTGATGAACAGCATGCTATTGGCAAATTTCTTATTGATATGTCATTACTTGATGTATCTTGTATTGACTTATCACCATCACTTATTGCTGCTAGTGCAACATATATAGCACGTTATATTCTTAATGAAAATCAACCATCAACATTTGAACAATGTTGGCCTCATGATTTACAAATTCGTTCACCATATAAAACACTTCAATCATTATCAAATGGTATTCAAATGCTAGCACGATGTATTAATAATTATTTATCTGGTAATAGTTCAAAAGAATACGAAATACTTGTTAAACGTTATGATAATGAACAATTATTAAAAGTTAGTTCATATTGTATACAACAACGAACACTTATACATAAATTAGCAAATGAATCATTAGAATAATAAATAATGATTCTTTTTGTACTGTTTGTGATTCAATCATCAGTAATGATGATATCTGTATTTTTCTGTGCAATCGAATCAGATAGATATATACGTGACCTGTTTTCTTTTTTCTTTTTTAATAATCATTAGGTATAGTCATTTTTTTTTCTTATTAGTGAATTGTATCTGTTTATTTTTCCTATGTACTTGTATGCTTTCTTTTTTTTTTCTTTATTTTTTCTCACAAATGGTATAGAACAAATAAATCGAATTCAAATAGTCAAATGTTTATTTGCTTGATGAATAAATAAAACATCAATAAAAGAATATGAATTGGAATTGTAGAATAGTTTCTTACACATGTATGACTTTTTACAATCGGATTCGAAACTAAGCTAATCAATATCTAGCAGATAGTTTCACATTTACAGTACAGTTTTCAAACTTTTATTTTGTATAAAAAACTAATGAAAAAAAGAAAGTGATACAGAATTCACTTGATGCTTTTCTGCTTTTAAACTCCAATCGATTTCGCTAATGAAGAGATGTTAATGAAACTAGCGAAAATTTAAAAGAGTTCGTCTTTCCGAGGCATTTCGCGCTGAGTTATGATCAATTTATCCGATTTTTGATTCATTTAATAACTCTTAAGGTATTTTGAAAAATTTCAATTGAAAAGAATATTCTTTCGTCACGATATTGAAGTTCCAAAAATAGTCAATTTTCTATAGACAAAATCCAAAAATCAAATTCACTTGAACATTCAATAATTCGACAAAGAAACGTTGTTTTCGACTGAAATCCTCACCATATTCTAAGAATCAATATACATATCTATAGGCAAAGATTTTGAATTGAAACCATGCTATTTAGTTTTTCTAAAAGTATCTAACATGGTTTGAAAATCCAGCAAGGTTGTGCGTGTGGATAGATGATGGTGCTAAAAAGAATCACATGCACATCCATGTATCACGATAGTTCTCAGCGGAATATTCAACCCAAATCCTGTAACCTACTGGTAGCAGGCTACCCTACAACATACTCTTCTGACATCTAACTTGTGCATGAATTCTGGCAGCATTGTTACATTAAGTTCGATCGTATTATGTCATGATCCATCATCCGTTTGTACTGATAGCGTTTTTCCACTAGGGAGCAGTTAACGCTCCTTCCACTATTTTCATCATGTAATAAAGTGATGAAAAATAGCGTCAGTTTTTGCTGTTTTCTTTAACATAGACAGTATAATTCTCATGTGACCAGTGAATCTCGACAAGATGTTAAAAACTCATTTTGTAAAAAAAATCGGATGCTTGTTATTAAAAAATTACTGTAAGTATCTCGCGAATAGTCAAGTTTCTTGAACAAAACTTGAATATGTCGATTCAAATTTGCCTGTAACTAAGTCATATTTTGAATTCATTAGTTTAGCGATGAGAATGATAATTTCATCTAGGCATATTGTGTATATTTTTAAATGGACTTCTTTTGTCATGCGAAACAAAATGATTAGTGTTAAGAAAAGTAGGCAGACATTGTAATGAATGTAGTTGCATTGATATCAAGTTAGAAGAGATGTAGCATAATGCATACACATTCAATAATTAAAATCATTGTAGCAGTAAATATTTATCGTGTTTCGCTTACAGGCACTGACTGACTACTATTATCGTTATTGATTTCTTTGACTTCTTGACCACGAATGCACACGAAGCCTTACAGAGTCTAATCATCAGTTTATATTATTGCACATATTTAGCTATACATACAAAAATCTTTTTTCTTCGATACAATGTGAACTACTGTGATGATATGTAATATTTTTTTTATTTAGGAAGACAAGAAGAAAGTATGTTTCTTTTTTTTCTTCCGGAAAAATCGATTCGATAGAAAAGCAAAAAATGATATGTATCACATGCATCGATCTGGCATGTACTTGTCAAAAGTTTACTCCTTATCAACGAGAAAAAACAACAATTCACTTGAGAAATCAATATATTGTTTAGTGTCGCCAGTTTCTATCAGTGGTAAGGATTAATGGTTGAATTGTATATGACGATATATCAGATTTTGTTTCTCTCTCAGGAGAGTCTATTTATATGGCATTTCACAGTTAGCATATATATTTTTCTTGTCTAGTACACATCAAGATGTTATGGCATATCAGCAGTAGTGATTAAGAACTTTAAAAGCTCACATGTGTACTGCTCTACTCTGTATTCTTTCTTTATGAAGTATATTTTATAACATACTATCCTGATACTCAATTTATGGAATTAGGAATTCTGTTTTGTATAAACCAATAAGATTATCAATATGATATGTAATAGCGAGAAATCATGTATGTTTTCCATTGGATACTCAAATTTCTTGTTTCCTTAGTCCTTTAGTCATTTTCTTCCTATTAATTCTATCGGTTCGTTATTCCCAAATACTAATCAAATCCGTTTTTTTTCTATCTTCCATCGAAAAGAAAGAGGAAAGATAATAATCAAAATGACAAAACTCTTCTTCGCTTAATGATTTGTTCAAGACGAAAGAGGCGAGAGAAGAGAAGATGTGAACATCGATTCTGAAAAATTGCAACCATAACAAGAGCAAAAAAAAAAACGACGAAAAGACTAGACTTCCTTTTTTTTCTTCCTTCCACATTGTTCATATATATATATATATAAACAGAATACAGAAAATCAGACGCTCATTCATATGTAGTTAATATGCATTCTGGGAATAAATAGAACAGTAACCAATTAGTACTTTTCCCTTGTTGTTTCTCACAATATTATATTACAATGACATTGCACAGAAAAAAAAATAAATGGTCTATATTAAAAACATCGAATATATCTCATCGACTATGTCTATCATTTTGACAAGGTCAGTTTTCTAGTCAATCGACATTGGTCAGCGTTCAATTAACTGTATAAATAAATCATCATTTTCATTGATGCCGACATCATATAAACCATCATCGTTTCTTTTTTTCCTTTTCTATTTCAAAGATAAAAAAATTCGCAAATTCTTCTAAACATTTATCATATAGACATCATTCATTATATAGAATGTAATTGTTTAACAATTTATCGATTGGATTCTTTCATATTTATTCTTTTTTGTATATATTTCTAAAAGCAAGACAACAGTTTCTATGATTAATAAAAAAAGATCTACAATAAATATAATCATTGCCAATATGTGTCTATTCTCATTCACTTATTCATCCTTGTCTCATTATATGTACAAAGAGTTAAGAACAATTCATTTCATTTCCTTTTCTTCGTTTTTTGTTGTTATTCTTCTTATTGTTCATAGTAGAAAACATACGAGTTAAAGTTAATCAAATCTATACATCAAAGAATATCCTTTTTTGTAATCATATTTTTCTATAGATAAATCGAAAGTGAATTTTGATATGAAGAATTTTTCTTTTTTGATATACTTTTAGGAAACAGTAATGTTGATGATTGATTGATACAATTATGTTTATTATTTGGTTTATTTATCAATTCTGGATATTCATTCAAGGTAAATAATAAAACAAAATTTTTCTTCTATTTTTTTTTTTTATTTTTCAATAAGGAACTTCATTAGCTTTATCATTTACTCGTGATTTACGTAATTTAACTATTATTTATAAACCTAATGCTTTCATTTATCATATTTGTCAAACATCACATTCAATTAATTCTAAACGTATACGTTGGCATTATGAATCTTTAAATAATTCAAATAATAATATAGATACTTATTGTAAACAATTATTTCAAAATTTTGATTGTTTTGATTTTTATTATGGACCATCAATAAGTGTACTAGTTATTAAAGAACCTGATATATTTATTGGAAAATATACATGTCAAATTAATATAAATTCAACATATGAAATAAAATCTATTGGTTGGATTGATATTAAATTACCTTCAAATAATATTGATGAATATGATCAATCAATGAAATTTTATAATGAAAATGAATTAGGCAACTTAGCTATTCATTATAATGTACCATTTATTTTTGATGCAAATGATTTAACATCATTTGGTAAACGAATACAATTAGGTGGTGTATTTTATACAGAATGTAAATCAATAGAAAGTTTATATCCAATTAATTTTTTATGGATACATTTACAAAATACATCAGAAAGAATGAAAACAATACGTTTTATTCAACATGATGGAAATCACATAATTATTAAAGAAAATAAATATTTAAGTAAGTTTTCATGCATCGATACATGTTTCATAATGATTGACTAATTGAAAGTTTGAGACAACACGATCTTTTTTTATTTTCAACTACTTTGAAAATATTTTCGAGAAGTCAAAAGCTATGAATTATATCTAAAATTTTGTGCACGTTTTTTTTGACTGTAGACTTCACAGATTTCTTGAGGCTAATGAGAGAAGTTTTTTGAAAGATGCAAAAATGATTTCGACGAGATGGGCGTGTCCTCTTCATTCTCGTTTACTCAGAACCACACCCACACTTATTCTACGGAAAGTTCTGAAGTGTCATATAGATTAGTTGAAGTTCGATGAGAAAGAGTTGTATACAACTCAAAGTAGTCTTTTTTTAACTTCGAAATATTTCAACTATTAGATGAACTTATTTGCAAAATGTTTCCAATTAAATTCATCACAGTAAGGCTTGTTTTTTACAAACATTATTTCGTTCGAAAACGTTACTAGATCTTTTAAAAGTGTCTATTTAAATAAGAATTGTTGTGCTGATGTGCCTTATCTATTAGCGTCAAGAATGTAACTGTGTCAAACTTTTTACTCTTACGTTAAATTCATATAGTATATATTCCTAACCTTTTATATGGAAAACAGTTTCCTTGTGAAACAAAGACACACTTTATTATTTAAATTTCTTAACTTTGTCTGAGTGTTTTCCATTGTTGTCAATTCTTTATTAAAAATATTTCAAATACATCTGCTTAATAAATCCAAAAACGAGAAGTGAAGTAATACAAAATGAATTCTCTTTTGAATATTTTCTTTTTTTTTTATAAACTGAAAAAAATCCTATCGTATAAATACTACATGTATATCGATGTATTTGAATATTCTAGAGACATAAAAAAGACAATAGAATGTTTTTATTTTTCGTTGGATTGCTTTTCTGATAGACAATATTTGAGAATAAATCAATGGTTGAATGAACACAATGTTGGATCGATTTAAGCAAAATCAAATCAATCTGATATTTGTGATAGTTTATTATGACATGTTCGAAATTACTATGTATTCAACATACAGTAGTTCGATGAAGAAAATATCGTAAACAATTGTAATTCAAGTATATAATGAATTAACTATCGAAACTAAGTTCTTCTCATGTTCATAAATAGTTTTTTTTTAGATATTTGATTATCAATTTATTTAACTGAACTTGACATAGATTTTCATTTTTAAGAGATATTTTTCCTTTTTTTGTTTTGCTTGAAGGTTCATTGTTAATATCTTCAGTCGATCATTCTGATAATGGCGATTATGTTTGTATAGCTTCAAATGAATTTGGTCGATCATTTTCTAGTAAACGTTCATTAATTGTTACCGGTAAGAATTCAAAAAAATAAGTTTGAACTAAATAATGTTGTATAGTGTGAATGTGTTTTTGTGCATGTACACAAATTTTGACAGTATTTAGAACGCATGGTTTTACCACGGATATATACTAATCTTCAAAATAATAGTTATATAGATCTTCGATATAATGATATGAAAGAACTTGTTTGTATTGCGAATGGTTATCCTATTCCAGATGTTACTTGGATTCGAGGTTTTTATAATTAATTTTTTTTTTTTGTTTTTCTATGTTATTTCATTTTATCTCAGTTTTTGATTGGATTCTTCTTGCACGAAACCAATCACATGCTATTCTTAAATTTGATGATATAATGCATGGTGTAAATAAATATATGTGTGAAGCAAAAAATAAGCATGGTTTGACAAAGATTTTTATTGATATTATTAAATCAGGTTTTAATTTATATGAAAATAATTTTTTTTTATTTTGAACAGTTCAATTTTATTTTTTATAGATACTCAAATAAAACTATTATTATATTATAGTAATATAAAAAGTCGAAGTATTATATTAAGTTGGTATGTATCAAATGAACGTTATGATCGTTTTAATTATTTCATTATTTATTATCGTCGTTTACATAATTTGTATAAAATTATAAATGATCAAGATGAAATGATTAATAATCAAGATTATCAAAAAGTTCTGATTGATCCACGTACTACAAATTATAATTTTACATTCCAAGTAAGAGAAATAAATCACGAAAGATTAATAATCAATTATTCATTTTCTTTTTTTTTGTGTTTTGATGAATTAGATGATCGATCTTATTCCATTTACAAAATATGAATTTCGACTACAAGGTTTAATCGGTGATGTGCCAACAGATTATTCTAATCCAGTCTTTATTATAACACTTGATATTGTACCACAGAAAATTGAAAATCTGCATGGTTATGTGTGGAATGAAACATCAGTTGTTGTTCATTGGACACCACCTAATTCAACAAATGGACCTAACTTTGTAAGAGAAAACAAGAATTCTTTTAGTTTGTGATGTAATATTAATACAAAGTTGAAAGAAGTCAAAATAATTCTATATTTTGGGATGGATTGCTGCCTAGTGGCAGAACAGTCAGCATCCTAATATTTCAAATTTTTCACACTGTTAATTTATATAAAAGCATAGGAGCGGAAACTTGATCAATTGATTGTACTTGAGAGGAAATTACAAAAGTTGAAGGCGATATTATTTTATAAAAAGAATTTGCTTTTGATGAAAGTTTGTCTACAGATACTGATAAACTGTATGATAAACTAAGTGAATACATGAAGAGAAAATAACAACAGTGCGTTTCATTTTGGCTTCAACAGAAACTAGCAAATATATACTTAGCAAAATAGATCGGACTTTTTCGAAGTAGAAAAACGCCAAATGATTTCTGAATCACTTGATTTTTTATTGCTGTTTATACAAGAAACTAAATACTATACATTTTCATATAAAATAAAAGTTTGAAAACCGTACGACGACTATGAAAAATATATTGAGTGTGGTAAGAATAGCGGAATGGCAACATGTTCGTTCCTTGAGAATTAGTATCACGTTCAAGCCTTTCCTCCGACAGCACTATGCTTGTATAATTCTGTTCTGTTCTATATGTCTCAAGCTACTTGTTCGTTGATGGTTTACGCATTCTACTCGTTTACCAGGATGGTTCGATTCTGCAAACCATTGCTTTTTGACACATGTTATCTGTACGCATTGTTTCATGTTACTATATGTTTACTATTTGCTTTAATTGCTTTCTTTCTTCATAGAATTACTTGTAATCAGTACTATGTTATTCAGACTCTATTAAGGGTAGAAGGTTAAATGAACCACATATTATCAGTATATGCTGGATGTCGATTAACTGCAGTCGAGTATTGGATACGGCTATCTGTGTTCAGTTGCGAAAAATATTACACTTGCACGACACTAATCACATATATGAGTCACAAGAGCAGGTGTATATGAGAAGATAGTCGTGATGCTTTTAAGACAAATAGCTGTTAATGACTTGTTCAGGGTTATTTCATAGCTATACAAAGTTAAGAAGTATCAAATATTGTTGATTATCATCAAATTTCAACAATGTTTTTGCGAAATTTTGTTTTGATTGACACTGAATAGCATATAACGAATATTGGATTATTTGAAAAGTCAAAAGTTCAACTTTGAATAAATTTTTTGTGAAACATGATCTAAAACGAGTGTTGAAGTATAGGGATAGAAATTTGGACTTCCCTTCTCTCCCACTCACAGATGTGACAGATACCTTGGCTACGATACAGAACAAATCGTATATCAATAATGTCTTGGCATAATATATGAGTTGCCTACTGTTTACATTTCTTAAGGATTAAATCAAATGATGGTGAAGAAATGTGACGCAAAATAGATAGAATAAAACAATAACATTATGGTTAGCAAGAGCGACAACATCGTATTTCACATTTGAGTCCCACAGGAATAGTGCTGACAGCTTTCTATTTGTAAATTTTCATATACATCACAACGATACTTGAAAATCTCATATGTCGGTAGAACCGATAAAAATGTAATTAGTTTTATAATTATAAATATTTTCATTGAAAATAATTAGAATATGAAAAGTAATATGTCAACTAAACTGACTGTCAAAAAGGAAATGAAAACAAAAAAAAAATCTACTATGCTCGCCCCCTTCGCCCGTATGTGATGGCACATTATAATTAATACTTTCTTTTCACTATAAATCTAGACGATCATTTATAACAATTTTCTTATTTTCCACCCAAACAGCTTTCTCGTGTTTCACATTTTGTCATCCCGTTGGGATTTCGTTAACACTTTCTCATTAAAATCTTTGAATTCTCTCATGTATTTTTTTTTTCTGTCCAAGATCGATGTCAATCAAAAAGACTATAATACACATAGTCTTTTTGACTTTGTTTCCAAAACTATTTCGTCTCTGATTACTGTCGAATTATCTAGCATAGTTGATCATTAAGAATCGATAAAATATATATTATATGCTAAATGTTTATCTACTGTTTTAGTATTACATTCTTTACTATACAACGAATACGTCCATTCCATTTTCTCAATGGTCTGATGTTATCATTCGCACATATCCATTTCATATTATTTCATTGCCAATATCATCTAATTTTCAACTATTTATTCGTGTTGCTAGTGTCAATATAAAAGGTTTAATATTAAGTGATTTTCATATAATTAATAATAGTTTATCAAATAATCGTTTCATATCAACAATTAATAAATTTCAATGTTTTTCAAATAATGAAAATCAATTATTAACTCTTCAATGGTCTATTGATCATAAATCTCATCTATATATTGAAAAATATCTTCTTTATTATTCGGATCTAGCACAAAATAATGATGATTTTATTCAATTGTTAATAATACCCATTGATTTACTTTCCATTGATCGTCAATCAACATATAACTTATTGAAGTATGAATTTAATATGTCTTTGTTAAATTTAAATTATAATCAATATCATATTTTACGTTTACACTTATCGATTATTGACGCAAATCAAAATCAATTACTTATAACACTTTCACCTATTTACTGTATATTGACAAGAAAATTGGGTAAGAATAACACAATTTTTTCTCTGTCAGAAATCGTGATCGATTGATGTTATGATAGAAATTGACTACCAAGGATGATTTCTATCCATCTTATCTGTTGTTCATAAGAGCGTATATATATATATATATACATATCATTGTCTATGATACATGAGAATTTGCTTGTTTGATCTTTGCATGTGGTAATCAATATATATATATGTATACATATACAGAATCAATTGGCTAGTCTGTTTCTTGTTGGATTATCTCTTGATTTATCTTAAAGAAAGAATAAGTAACGTTTTCTTTTTCATATTGTGTTCAGATAATTATCAGTATTGATAATAGTAAAAAGAAAAGGTTGTGTGAAGGAGAAGAATTACTTGAGTAATAATAAATGTGGTACAGTTAGTTGATCATTGAAAAAAAAGAAAAATAATATAACGAATGAGAAAGTTAATTTAGCCAGTTTCTTGTCTGTTCTATGCATTATTATTATGATGTATGTTGTACGGTGTCGTAAAGAAATTCAAATGTTAGACGGCCAATAAATTCATGTCTATACAGCATGTGATTATCACAAAAGACTTTTATCGCCTAATTACAATAGTTCTATCATAAAAGGCTATCTATTGTTTGCGTCACATGCAACTGTTTATAGTTTATATATAGAAAAAAAAAGCAATTCCTTGTGGATAGTAGACTGCCGTAGACAAATGTACAATTGACCAAGCAATGTGTGAAGATAAATGACAGTCAGAAAGATGAAATGAATAATGGTGAAGTCATTAGGCGACCATCGGTCGGCATGATCTATTTCTTATGTCTGTCGGTTTTTTTTAACCGTTCTCTCGTTTTTTTTTCATCGTCCATTCTCAATCCATACAATGTACATGGAGAACAATACAATCATGTTCAAACAATATATTTCTCGTTTTCTTTTTCTCTTTAGACCGAATAGACGATGATGATCGAGGTCGTGTTTCTCGCTCTTTTTCCATTCTCTATTTCCTTTTCTTTCTCTATTCTACATACTGTCAGAAAAAGAAGACAAAAAAAAAAAACAACAGAATTCTTCGTTTTTCTTTCACACTATCGAACAACTGTCCAGTTTGGCTATTTGTCTACTTGTTGTTTATTTGATCAACTAGATCAGTAGATGACCGATTATTTTCAATTAATATAAACAATTAATAAATTTCCATGATTTATATTATTGTTTTTTATACAATATTCATTTTTATAACAAATATTTTTGCACAAATTCCAACTAATATACGTATACTATCAACGGATAAAGATTTTATTCGTTTATCATGGACTAAACCCGATCGTTTAACATCAGTATATGGTTACACAATAAAATATCGTCCAATAAATTCAAATCAATCATGGATTGTACGACAAATAAATACTACACAAATCATTTTAAATGAACTTCGTCCTATAACAAAATATGAAATTATTTTACAAGCATATGCAAATTCATCATATACAGATTCATCGGGACCATCAACACGTATTGAAGCTATAACAGATGAAACAGGTAACTTCCTGTTCATTACTTATAAAGTTATATCGAACTATAAATAATAAATGAGAATAGATGTGCGTGCTAAAATAAAAAAAAAAAAAAAAGAAAATGAAATATCTCGTTTACGAATATTTAATTCATCATAAATTTTTAACAATAATATTTTAAACGTAAAACATCTGTTAGCGGTTGTCTTAGCTTTTTTTTTCTAAAAAAAAAGAAAACCTGACATTTTTTCTTAGTTTATTATTTATTAAGCATGAATACGTATAACAGAATTGTAATTAGAATTTATATCCGGCATTGACCACTAGGGTTTTCAATGATTATCAATAGAATCAGATCCTGTTAGTAATTATGATTTACAATGGAAAAGAAATTCTTTTTTTCGTGATTTTTTTTAGTGGTATTACTAACCTGTCACATTTATTGGATAGGTTCAAATGAGATTAGTAATTACGATGAAATAAGAAAATATAAAATAAGAAAGTTTTCTTTTTAAAATTTTAATATTCATACTTTATAAAAAAAAAGAAAAGAAAACAAGAATAAGAAGAGAACTGATTAGCATAACTCATTATTTTTGAATAGTATCTATAACATATTCTTTTGTTCAATTGAAATATATGACTTTGTAAATGAAATGTGAATGGTGCTTTATCATTTGTATTAACACCTAATCCATCATAGGTATAAATGAATAGTAATTTCATTCTTTTTATTATTCATCATAATTATCATCTTCATTGGACTTTATAGTTTTCTTAGCAATCACATCATTTGACATGTGAGAAAAATACAATACATTAATCATTTCACATACGTATACATGTCAAATATTGATTGAATAAATGACAATTTTCAAATAGTTTTTCTGTTCGATAAATGAAAGTGAAAACTGTGTTTATAATATAAAATAACTAGAGAATGTATAAGGTTGTTTTTTTTGAATAATGAAAAAATACTTGCGGTTTTTTTTTGCATAGAAAATATTTACTTTATTTGCCTCGCGGATAAAGCAAGTAATCTTTTTTGATTACATCTTACATAGATGACAAGCTTTTGAGTTATTTTTTTATTTTAAGTTGTAAATAATTACAAGTTACATTGAACTCAGACACTGAAATAATAATCATTTTTTTTTGTTATGGTAAAGTTAGAAAGCTACTCGGTTAGAAAATGGAAATCATACGATAATATTAAAGCATTAAAATAGAGTTATATTTTAGTACTTTATTCATATTTTATATATGACTAAGCAATTCTTGTTGCGATTCATAGTTAGACAGCCATATAGAAAAGTTATATAGCAGAATTTTCGTTGTCAAAGTAGTTTTTTTCACCTTTAAATCCATAAATTGTCTCTTCTGATTAAAATATGATTTACTCAATTAGCACGTAATCTGAATAGTTTTCAAATCGTCGAATTTGTCATTCATTGATAAATCTAAGTCAATGTAATACATAAGAATCATCATATGAAAAAGTTCTTTCTTAAACTTTGACGTAATTGCTTATTCATATAGCTTCTTTTATAAATACTATCTATTTAGTTTAGTTTGAAAAGGCTTTAAAAGTTCAAAATAGCATGTACTATTAGTAGTTTCAAAGCTCAATATAATGAAGGTGCATTAATTGATTCAAAAGAATTCATTTCGAAGTTTCCATCAAACTTAGAACAACTTCAATCTTAGAAAACATACAAAAACACTTTCGTAATGTTTCCTACCATTTAGAAAGAGCTAGCAACCTTAATTCATAATGATTAGAAACGAACGTTGGTTTTTCTTGTTTCTATTCCCTTGAAATTATCTGTCAACAATCATTTTTCAGTAAAGATTCTATTTTAATAATAAAAACTGAAGGAAATCGATCTATTATTTTTTTGAATGCAGTCAATAAAACAACTAGAGTGTTTTTTTTTTTCATGCTCAAACATGCGAAAAAATTTGCTAGAAATATTGTTTTCATTGTCTAATCTTTATTTACTATTCAAAATGCAAAGCATCGAAAACCTCTAATGATGTTCTTTCAAGCTCGTAAAACTTTTGTTTAATTATTCATAAGTAACAAGTCAAAAGAAAATGAAATTAATTCATAGAATGAACACTGATGTGATCAAGAGAAAGTCTAGTATACATAAAACGAACATACTCAATTCTATTAAAAAGTAATATAACTTGCTTGGTTAGATCATCTTGCCATACATTTTTATGAATATATGTGCGTGACTTTTCTAGCAATAAGAAACCTAGACGAAGGGACCTACTATGAACATACGGCATTTTTTTAAAGTAGGGAAAAAAATATTCCCAATAGAATACATATATTCTAGTTGTCATCATCATCATCATCATTTAACTTCTTCTTTTTTTCAATTACATCGAATCGATTCAAGTTAAGCTAAGACATGTAGAAAAAGAAAAACCAGAAAATAGAATCAATATAGATATTAGAAGGTTTGATTATACAACCGACAAATGAGTTTAGTAATGGCAAGGTTTATGAAACTATTAATAGAAGGAAGCAAAAAGGAAGCCACAAGAAAAAGAAAAAGATGTGTCAGTTATGCCTGATTGAATTGTATGTAAGACAAGTATATCGGTAGCGGAAGATGGCACATTCAAGGTTGATTGTTTTCTATATTTCATTTATTCATAAAAAAAGTATGAAAAAGAACAAATAGTCTTTTTGTTTCATCTAAAAACATCTATTAATTCTTTTTTTCTTATATTGTAAACAAATATTAAATGACAACAGTCATTGATCTTGGTCATCTTCTATGAAACATGATCATTGGACAGACAAAAAGTTGTCCTATTGGATAAACATATATCACAATCCATAAGAACATAATCAACTTCTTGTTATGTTTTCATCTGTTTAATTAACATCATATCATTGGAATGCTCAAAAAAGAATAATAGAAAACAAAAATTTCTATTTTCGTGAAATGCTTTTAAGAGCTAAAGTTGAATATTGCTGGAAACAATAATTTAGCAATGAAATACGCTTTTATGCTGATGAAGTAAATAGAATAAACTGCTCTTGTACTCTGTTGAGTATGAGATGAGAAGAGCGAAAGAGAAGAAGAGAGAGAGAGGAAAAGAGAGAGAGAGAGAGAAACACAAAAAAAGGAAAATAAGTTTAGATGAGAAGAAAGGAAAAGGAAAAAAGCAATAGTCGTTTATTATAGAGTTTTGACCATTGCACATCTATTTTCTATTCAAATGTGGTCATTATTAATATTACTTTCAATTCTAGTTCCACTTGTTGCACCCATCAATGTCAGTGCACATATGATTAATCAAACAGCAGCAAATATATCATGGATATATCCACTTGATTCAAACAATCCTGATGATATAGCATTACTTGGTGGAATGATTAAAGGATTTTATGTTATTGTTTTTGCACCTGATTCAATTCAACCACCAATTGTTCATCGAAATTATCAAGGTACTATTGGTACACAATATTGGGATATTGTGGGTAATTTAATACCTGGTACAACATATCATGCACAAGTTA